TTAGTAAAGAAACTTGTTCACATGATAAACAATGCTATTTAGTTACTTATTAACAAAATATGTGTTTCCACGATAAACAATGTCATCTAATTACTTTAGTAACGAAATTTGTTCACATTATAAACAATGCTGTTTAGTCACCTTAATAACGAAATCTGTTCACGTGATCAACAATGTTATTTTGTAATTTGTTATAATGAAAAACAATATCATCTAATCAACTTAGTAATGAATATTTTCTTGTATATTTGTTTATTTTATTGTAATATATATCAAATATATCAGCTGATTAGATGTGAACAAACCTCCTTATTATCAACAATCTGTTTTTAAAACGCATTCACTTTTGCACAAGGAATAATAAATATAATTTTTTGAAAGTGTAAAAAAAAAGTATGCATATCTGTATATATGTTCCTAAAGTTATCGGAAATAACAAAGTGAATGTGATAGAAGTTTTTTTTTCTAGAAATTCGAAGAGATTATTCTTGTGCAAAAGAAAAACCTTGATAAGTCTAAAAGCAGAGATATTGGTATTTAATTGTTTTTGCTTCTGCTTATTTTTTTTTACAACTTTTCATGTTTCAGAGAGAGCCAAGTATCAACCAAAGTATGTTCGTCATGGAAACCAGCACCATATAACCATTCCTTTGCCGAGATATGGATACGGAAGAATTAGTATTCCTTTTAGTGTTAATCATTATTTCCGCCCAGGAAGAACGAAAGTTAACAGGTTGTTTATGGATTATGGAAATAGAAATATACAAACCCCTCACTCCACAGCATCGCCCAACAGTCGCCCTGAACGACCTAATACTTACAGATATTCAAAGACTTATAGATTCAGAATCCCCATTTCCAGAAGAAGGTGGTATACTAAACACTTAGTGCCCTCTGGTGAAGAATCACCTAGTGATGAAAAAAAAAGTGTTGGAAGCAGCGATAATTTGACTGTATATCCCACTGGAAGATCTGTGTTCCGTATGAGTCTGAGAGGTCCGTTGCTTCCAGGTATTAATAGTTACAGTCCATATGGTAAGTGTGATAAGTAATAATGTATAAGTAAGTTCTGAAACCACTAACGTAGTGTTTTAATTTCTGAAACTAGTAATGTAGAGTTCTCAGTTCCTAAGTTCGTTGTATAGAGTTCTCAGCAAGTTCTTAGACTAGTAATGTAAAATTCTCAGTCAGTTCTCAAACTAGTACTGTAGAGTTTACAATTTTTAAACTGGTAAAGCAGCGTTCTCAGTTCTTAAACTACTAATGCAGAGTTCTTAGTTCTTAAATTAGTAGTGTAGAGTTCCCAGCCAGTTTTTAAACTTGTAATGTACAGTTGTTAAACTATTAATGTAGAGTGCTTAGTCATTTCCTCAACTAATAATGTAGAGTGCCCAAATCTTACACTAGTAGTGTAGAGTTCTCAGTTCTTTAACAAGTTATGTAGAGTTTACAGTTTCTAAACTAGCAGAGCAGAGTTCTCAGTTCTTGAACTAGTAATACAGAGTTCTCAATTCTTAAATGTGTTGTATAGATGTATCATTTCTTAAACTACCAATGTAGAAGTCTCAGTTATTAAACTAGTATGTGAGCTTTTGAGTTCTTAAGCTCGAAATATAGAGTCCTTATTCAGTTTTTAAGCTAGTAATGTAGAGTTCCCAGTTCTTAAACTAGTAATATAGATTTCCCAATTAGTTCTTAAACTAGTAATATAGATTTCCTAATTAGTTCTTAAACTAGTAATATAGATTTCCCAATTAGTTCTTAAACTAGTAATATAGATTTCCCAATTAGTTCTTAAACTAGTAATATAGAGTTCTCAGTCAGCTCTTAAACTAATAAAATAAAATTTTCAGTTCGTTGTTCAACTAGTACTAGAGTCCTTAAGTAGTTCATCAACTAGTAACGTAAACTTATGAAATACTACTAATATTATTGTAGCAGCTTATAAGCACCAGTTTGTAGCATCTAAGCAACAACATAATAGCAAGTATTATCAATGTCTATGGCCAAACGTATACATGATAAATTTATTAAGCTTAATGAATTCCTTATATCAGCAAGAGCTTATACCTCATAATAACACAACTGTGTTCCACTTGGGAATGTATAGGTTAAAAATATTCTTTGGTGTATCACTCGTTTTCATTATATATATATATGGCTTTCTAGCTTTGTGTTTCATATTAGTGAAAATTCGAAAAGTTAGATAAATATTAAAAACACTTATATATGAGGTCACTCTTCAACTATTACTTTTAAACCAAGTAAAATTACATTTTAGTAAGCAACATTTTGAAAAATGATGCTGTCAAAACTTACTCGGATGGTGTGTAACAGTCTCTGTAGCAGGAGTGTTATGGTTAGATGCTGTAAATAAAAGTAACAATTAGAACTTCCTTTAAACTGTCATTAGTTATAGGTATTCATTGACAGCGTTTTCAATGGGTATGCGTGGTGGTAAGCCTGATATTTTCAGCATAAAGTGCACTCAAGATTAGGTGAAAAGAGAGTTAAAGTTTGTTCCTTGAGTATAGCATTCAACTGTAAGAAAAATTGCTAAAAATGTTCATTTTTGGAAGTGGATAACACAAAAACATGAAATTTAGTTGTATGTTATATCGAACAGGGTCGTCTGTGTTTTAATTTTTATCGTAATTAACAAGACGTCCTGTGTTCTTTGTAACAAGACTGTGTCTTATTGTGTATTGTGTTTAACAACGTTGAGTTTATTTCATCTTACGTTGTAGTTAATAATAACTGTTTGTCAGTAGCGTAACTACAAAAGATGGTACCCCGCATAAAAAGTTGTTGGGCCCTTACATTTATTTCTCTATAGTAGTAGTTACGATTCTGGCTTATCGATGTCATTAACTTAAGAGTATAATGCAACCACCCTTTACTTCAAACAAATTAAATTATATGTCTCTCCCCTTGTCGGCAATTCTGAAGTTTTTCAGGCCCTTCGGGATCCCTTTTGACACGGACCCCCTTCATTTGCGAAGGCTGCGGGGGCATACTGACGCCACGGCTGTTTGTTCTTCTCTATGTGGTGTAGCTCTCAGGACAGTATGTGTTTCAACGTATGGTGTAGCATCTAGTAGATCTATCTGTTGTTCAATTTGTTGCACATGTAACAGGACTGTCAATTATTCAGCATGTAGCAGTGGTTATTCAGTGGTTAACGTACCTAATATGACTATCTTCGGTTATGAATAGCGTATCTAACGGGGATTTCGTTGAATCAGCATGCTTCAGTGTATAGCATAGAATCTATTGCGAGTATCTATCCTTCGGTGTCTGGAGTAGAATCTAATATGATTATATATATATATGTCACAGAATTCTTTTATTTTTCACCAAAGGTAAAATTTTAAAAAGAATCTGTGACGTAGAGGCCTAATGCACTCTTTGATTGGCCGTACCCTCTGCTGTAGTTTACAGTTTCGACTCTTCAAAGCTCATCAGCACAGCTTGGGTCAGCAAACCAAAGAAATACAGTTAGGCCTCTTATAATGGTGGTGTGTATATAATATTCATGATATCTTTGAGTCCTTTTGAATTCACCATACAGCAATCCAAGTTAGTCCTCTACGTCACAGGTTCTCTTTACAATTTTACCTTTGGTGAAAAACAAAAGCAATCTGTAACTTATGAATATACTACCATAAAATACCCACGCTCAGCTGAAGGATTCTAAGGTCCCCTTATGATTCATAGAGGTCTCAATGTACTAGTCAAGCATCTCCATTATCTTAATTACTTCCACAGCTAGCCAAATGTGCCAATTATTTAACTGATTTGTCTGTTGCCATTTCCCGAACTTAATTCAATTCAACTCTTTTTAAAAACAAATAGTTTTAATTTAGCCTTTCAGATTAGTTTTTCTTCTTGTGTTTTGATTTGAATTATTTCATTTATCAAGTTTTCCAGTATTCTCTGATTCATATTTCTCTTCCCGTTGGTTGTTGCCGTTTTTCAAACTTAGTTTAATTCAACTTTTTAAATTCACAGATTCATATTTTTCTTTCCATGTTTGTGTTAATAAAGAGTATCTGGCAGAAAACCTTCATATATTATTCATTTAGTAAATGAGAATTAGAAAAAAACACTATCATACTTTTCTATAGACCTTCAGGAAGTAGAATCATGGACCTTAAGGGCAAAAAAATTGACCAACATTTTTTAGTCAAACCTAAAAAATAATACCCAGGTGCACGCCCTCAGAATCTCCTTAGTATGCGTGCAAACTTTCAGATCTCTAGCTTCTTTCCTCTTAGAGCTATGGCGGTTACACACACAGAGGATATTTTATTATTATAGATATAATCATTAACCAGTTGGTCCGCTGTATAATATTTAAAGATGAATTAGGCGCAATGTCATAATGCTATTCTCACACCTAAATTAATTTAGGTTATTGTATGGTGAATTAAAAATGACTCAAACCCTATAATTATTAGAACCTAACATAATTATTACGCCTTCCACCTATGACGTGGAATTAAGCAGAACTGTCGTGTATTTAACATAGTGTATAACACCTTTCTGTAGTTCAGTGTGTAGATTAGTGTCTAACACGTATCTGTGGCTCAGTGTGTAGATTAGTGTCTAACGCGTATCTGTGTTCAGTGTGTAGATTAGTGTCTAATACCTATCCGTAGTTCAGTGTGTAGATTAGTGTCTAACACGTATCTGTGGTTCAGTGTGTAGATTAGTGTCTAACACGTATCTGTGGTTCAGTGTGTAGATTAGTGTCTAACACGTATCTGTGGTTCAGTGTGTAGATTAGCGTCTAACACGTATCTGTGGTTCAGTGTGTAGATTAGTGTCTAACATGACTGTCAGTTCTACACAGTGTAGCGTAGTATCTAACAGCTTGTAGGAAACATAACGTAGCCCAGTATGTAGCCCATCTAAAACGACTATCTCTACTTTATTAATTCTTTTTTCGTGTGAACTATACAGAATTAAAGCAATGTTCTGACCTTATATAGTGACGGGGAGTAGCAGCTTAGAGACAAATCCTCTTTCCAGTTCCTGTATCAGATGTCCCACTGATCAAACTGTTGTTGTAGAGCGCGGTAAGGGATGTGCTGTGGTATCCTTACCCACTGTTCGAACTTGTGCTGGGTAGGTTCTCATTTTTAGCTGTAATTGGATAAGTTTAGATATTGATATATGTTTAACATATGACTCATTTAGATGTAATAATATCATAAATAAACTTTAGTGAATATTTTTAATGTGAATTGTTGAAATGCCTGTAACGTTATTATAATAGATGAGAGAGTCACTTGTTACACACCTATTTGTTTGTTTTTCTATTATAAACATGATGCGTCTTTCATGTTCACATCAGACTGCTCCAAACACCCGGACCTGTACAGGTATCCTTGACGTTTGGACCGAAGCCTGGATCACTAATCACTGAAGGTGATTATTTTATGCAACTTCAAATCAAGAAAGCTGGAGATACAGTACAGACGTGTCAGTTCTGGTTAAAAGTAAAAGGTAAGTAGCAAGAATAATATAAATATCCCGATCTTTTTGAATAATTAATTCTTGGGAAAGTAAAGAAAATGCTGGTTTCAATAACTGAAATGTGCCTATCTTATTAAATAACTTATCTGTTTCAAAGTGGGTAAAAAGGTGGTCTGATTGATTGTGATATTCCTATTTATTTAACAATTAGTTCGGGGCAAAGTATAAACTAAGCTGGGGTGAGTGAGAAAAGGGTTTGAATTTAAGGAATTATTTTTTAGGAAAGCGAAATATATCATGGTGTAGATGACTGAAGGATTCCTACCCATTCAAATAACTAGTTTTAGATGAAATAAAGGCAAAGCTGGTGTGAATGACTGAAGCCTTCCTATTTTCTTAAGCACACAGTTCAAATAGAAACTGAAAATTATGATGATGTAAGTGGTTTAAGTCATCCCTATTTCACTAAAACATTCATTCCGAATGAAAGTAAAAAATAACCTGGTGTGAATGGCTGAATATTTCTATATAATTGAATGATTAGTTCAGGGTAAAATCGGAAATTAAGATGGAGTAAATATTTGAAAGATTCTTCCCTTTACAAAAATCTGGTTCTACGTGAAAGTAAGCTAGTGTAGAGGCTTAAATGATGGTTTGAACTGTTTTACTAAACAATAAGTATTGGGTGAAAGTAAAAAATATATACTCGTGTCAATGTTCTCAGATACAGACTTGAAACTGTGACCAAACATTATAACATTGATTATGTAGACTAGGCATCTCACACATTACAGTGTAAACTCCAAAAACATCTCAGAAGTAAAGTTCACATTACACAGGCCAAATGGCATGTCACGGAACTCATACAAGTCATCTCTAAGGCTAAGAGCAGTCTTATGTTTGCTCTGATCATCCAGCTCAACTTGCTAGTATCAGTATGTCACATCTAAAGAATTGAACCAACGTGAACCTTAAAATGCATCCAAAAATGTATTTATTAATGGTAAGGGAAATGCATCAATGTAAGTTATCATGTTTACCCATTTAAAATCAACACATAATCTTAGTGTACCTTCCCTTTTTCCTGACATTCACTATTGGAGATGACTAAGCACTCTCGAAAAATTACATGGCTCTGAAAAGTTGGCTGCTTTATTGGACGTGCATATCTGTATATATATATTGTGGTGATTCACTGTTGTTCTATACAATTGTCCATCTTATCCCACAAATATATTAGCATAATCAACCAAAAAGTTACTGAGTTGCTTTTGTCAAATTGGATCTTGATTGCTTGTACAATCCTCAACCAACAATCTCAGATATGTTGGTAGCTATACACTTGCTTTTGGCTGTGATGCGATAAATGCAATCTGAACATTACCACTAGCTTAAGTTGCTTACACTTTGATCACTACGCCTATAACCATTTCAGTATAAAGAATAATAGCCAATTTCCCATAACTGCAAAAAAAGACCAAGAATTAATCCCTTCTTGATTAGACAATAGTCTGAGCCAAATGCTGACTGGAAACAGGAAACAAATAATTTCATGTGTGGTTTTCAAAACTGTGTTACACAGTACTGATACACTAAACAATCATCCATAGTAAACCATGGAACACCATTTGTGTATATGGAAGTATTGTTACTCCCTTGAGTACATATGCCCATGGAGTTCACTCTTCCTGAGCTAAATCTCGCTGACATCAGATAATTTTCCCACAGAATATCAAGTTACTAGATGTACAGCTAAAACTGACCAATAATTTCTCTAGGTCAACGATGCCAGATCCAAGTTCGGAGATGACTACCTTTGTTCTGTGAGCAACATTTCCTAGATACAGCCACAGATCTGCCTTTTCACCTATGTGTAGTCCATAGTCAGTATCCACTGACTGGAGTGATGGTCTCACTTGGAGGGCTTGATATGTTGAAAGATATTCCAGTGTTCTTGCTGTTCTTGTGTCAAAAACAACTTAATCTATTGCTCATCTATCATCACAGGTATATCCCCAGCTCTACTCTGTCCTGAAAGAACTGAGCTGAGCAGCAAACCCTTGCCATTCTTCCCCAGATTAATGACCAAACCTGATTTGGGCTTTATTGTTTTTCTGGAGCTGTAGAGGCAGCATTTATCACTCATTATTGGTTCTCCTGAACCTGTTGAGCCATGGGTTGGAACAAATAGCCTTGCCATTTTTTACTCCTCAGCAAAGTATGGGCAGTTTACTCACAAGTTTCCCAACATACCAGAAGCATAGCAGATGCTGGGCTCCACCCGTCCCAAACAAAATCTAGACAGAGGCATCACTGGCTTAGGCTGTAGTATGTACACCATGAGAAGACCAGGATAGCTCTGCTCATTCACTGAAAACCAATGGAGTTTCATTATATTGCTGGGATTTGTGGCTGATTGGTCAACTCTTGGCGTGGCTAGAGCTTGTGTAGTGGAGGTATCTCAATAGAGTGGTCTACCCGACGTGTAGCCACAGATACTATAATTGTAAGTTTCTTCCTCTCCAGTGACAAGCTAAATATTACTACTTTGTACCTGGTTGCATCAGAAATTGCTTCATTTAGGGTGAGGATGTCCTTCCCACCAAGGTGGTGCCTCTTCATCTCACTGAATCGTACCTGGACGAACTTATTTATCAATATGTCTTCACAATTTGTCAAAGCCATTTCATGATAAGCTTTAGTATACAGATGGTATGAATCATCCATGTAAATATCTAAATGCTTGGTGGGTTCCTCTTTCGAGCCTTAAACTCACCTTAATGGATTAATCAATTATACACTGGATCGAATCATCGACAAACTCATCTGTGACTGTTTCCCAGTCTTGTTGTTGTGCTACATAGAAACATTAGGTAGAGTCTAGGGCTGGAAAATCAGGCATTACAGAAGCTCCAAGCTGTTATCTGCGTGAAATGCTAAATTATTCTGATCATCCTTCACCACACTTTCGCTTGGCTTCACCTAACGAGACCTGTGGTGCTAGCCAAAGCACCTCTTGTGGGATTTCGAGTAATTCCTGGCTGAGATGCTACTAATCATGGGTATGGGTTAGTAGGCGTACTCGTGCACTGTGACGCTCCAATGTGTAGTAGGTCCCTGGTCCAGAGTGTCATAGTGATGATTTGTTCTCGATTCTTGGCAATTCATCCAGAGGCAACCCCAGATTTCTTCGTGATTTGCAGTTATTCTAGAAGGATTCCTCCTGCTTCAGAGGGGCTCACAACTGCCTCATGGTTCGTGGCCTTTTTCTGTTGTGTCCACTGTCTCACCTGTCAGGAAAACAGCGCTGACAGTTTGTCCACCAATAGCATGTCCAGTCCTACTCAATTGGCCATGACCAGAGCTAGGTTTGTGTTACTCCGGCTAGGATGATTTGGGAATAATTTAAAGACGACGTTATACGTTATCAGACTCGCCAGGTACCATTCGAACTTAGCAAACCTCAGTCTTTTGCAGTAAAATCATTCTAACAAGGGCAATGCCTATCCTGGGTACACTAGAAAATGACTAATCTTCCTGTGTCTGCAGTTGCAGAGAGGTCAACATCTGAAATCTATGTATCATCGGCAAAAGTCCTATGACCAGGAGAGGATTCTCCTAGATTCAACGCCTCACTCGTACAGTAATTTTGCTTCAGCAACAAACTCTCCTTCTCTCTATAGTGAGTGCTTCTACTTAAAGAAATGTCATCCCTTCAAAGATAAGTGTTCCTTTCAAATCTTAGAATTTAAGCGTTCAAGTAACGGCAATACACCCACTTGCAGAAACAAAACAAAACAACAACTTTGCAATAAAATCCTGTTGGTACAGTACCAAAATTTCTTCTTCGTACCTACCAATAGTATTCTCGTGTTAAACTTGTTTTCTCAAAGAATATTAGGTATTAACAGGATGAACCACGAAGAAATATTGTCTTTAACTAAACTGACTGAGTTTAAGCTAAGAAATAAAGAGACTGGGCACAGTGTAATACAAAATTAAAATAATATTTATTCATTGACAAAGACAAAAACACAGTGTGTGTGCTTGTAATGGACAATGGATGGTTGACTTTCATTAGACTTGTGAATGATTAAGTGATTTTCTTTCCTCGGTTTGGTTTTCACTTGAGATCCTATTACGTAGAGTGTTTAAAGCTCATGTTTCTTATATGACAGGAAACGTTGGATTTACACTGGGGAGGTCGTAACCTCATAGCACTACATACTCTACTATTGAATGATATTGCTGTCGACATTCTTACACAACATGAAGCATTACCACCCACGGGTAGAGCAGGTACTATTTCTTGACAACTAGAAAGAAGCCCAATTAACAACTTTCTGGACCATGTATTATACGAAAATTGCACAGACTTAAAATATATGAACAATTTTGAAATTTTCTACATTAAAATAATAAGGCAGAAAGCTCATGATGTTTGTACATACGTACGGGCAAGGCCTAAACATGAAATAAAACTTTTTATACAAGGATTCAAGTTATTTAACCACTGCTGATTTAGTGTTATGAGAAAATGAAGTTAGTTGCCAGTGGTGTAAATAAACCTGTGTTTATGAAACTTTTGTAAGTTGCTGCGAAACATTCACTTATAGCATATTCTGGTTCTACTCATCATCAGATTGATGTGACGTTTTAAGCTTCATTTTACTCCCAATACTTTTAAATACACGAATTGTCAATAACAAGGTTTTCATTCTGCCTGTCTTGGTAGTTTATTTGGCTGGTTTAATTATCGCTATTCAACATTATTGGAGTATATTACCACTTTAAAAGTTTCATAATGGTGTACTAATGTCAAATTCTTCAGCGAACATTATAGAATAGTAAACGACTGGTGTTTATATGTTACGCAAGTAAGATATACTCTAGCATTTGTTTAATGTTATACTTATTATCACTATTAATTAGAATGCTGAATCTGTGTATTTTTATTATTTCAAATACTTTACTATAATGTTTTCATTATAAAGATTATTTTGAAATATTAGCTTAGTATGGGTTTACGG